GGCTTCACTGAGTTACGCAAGCCCCTTCACCACGACAAGGCAGTGATCCATGAAGGGGAAGAAAACACTGGATGGCAACTATTTGCCCTTCATTTTCTAAGACTTATGTTGGATCCAGAATCATTGCTGAAAGTAGAGGTTGATCTTGAGTGTGTGTCTTCTTCACAACATTGTAATATTCCATTCATTTCCTTAAAATAAAAGAATATTTAAAAATTTAGATAACAGCTTGAGGATTGCCAAGGAAAGTGTAGGCAGGCATATTGTCCCTTCCAAGAGTCACACTGCACCCCCAGACTCTGATGGGTAAACTAAATTAATCCAGTGTAAATGGAGTGCCACTGATGCTCTCCTTGAGTAGGATAGATAAGTGAAACATCTGCTGGATTTTCTGAACTCTGTATAGTTGTTGAACATAGTTGTCTAGGACGATGCTGAGTTACGATATTGCTTTTTGGAGCATCCCAGATTTGGCACAACAAGAGTACAACATGATAAGAAACCATGACATTACTGCCTCAGTAATGGAGGTGTTTGTCTTCTATTTCTAAAATGGAATTGGTTTATAACCTGGATCAATTCACTGTTAGAAATTAATTATAAAAATTCAAAGGACACTGGTTGCAATCACATTAATGTATGCATACAAACTTCATTTTGGGGAAACCTTCTTGGTTTCTTTCCTTAACCCATTAACATGGGTTAATTTCTTAGCATGAATATTTATTGTAATTTATTATGTAAACTACTGTGCTTTACAGAAATTGGTGGCATAAAAATTAATAATAGTTGTAATAATAATAGGCTGTTTTTGATATCCCATTTTGTAGGTTATGATTGCTACATAAAGACTCAAATCTATTTTGTATGATACAAGGTGACTTGACATATGCAAAAGTTCCCGTTTAAGATCTAGATTGTAAGAAGGCTAAGAATGGTTTGTGTCCTGTCCTAGCTGGGCTCAAGTAAGACAACAAAGTTGTTTCTAAGCACTAGCACTTATAATTCTGGAAGTGTGTCAGAAAAAGGTTGTGCCCAGACACGTTCATTCCAGGACCTTAGACAGATCCTCATGGAATGGTTGATGGTTGAAACTCTTCTGAAGAGCTGCTGTCTCAGCAACATGCAAAGCTCTTTGGAGACCTTTTGAAGGTAGAGTGATTTGAACGTATTGTTAATCTCAGTCTTTCCAAAGATTTCAGAATCATAGGGATGGTATCAGAGGGTTGCTGTCTGAATATACAGAGTTCAGAAAAGCCAATTTCTCTAGACCTAGACTTCTAGGAGCCACAAATGATGGGTCACTGTATTACGCTCCTCTTGTAGGGAGGGGAATCAAGGCCAGTGTAATGGTATGTGGGAAAATCCACTGATCTGCCTGCCATAAACATTTCACATGGAGCTGTGAAGGTCCAAAATTGATCCTGGTCCCCTCTGAATTTCTCTGGTAAGCTCCCATGAGAATGCAGGAGCATCGGCTGAATCATATGTTGCTGTGCTGCTGCGGGTTGAGGCAAATTCTGTCCCAGCTGCTGTGTTAGTTGTATCATAGCATTCTATAAATCAGTTACCTGTACATCCACTTGCTGCTGGTGTTGCAACAACGCTGTAGCTGGATGCTTGGCAGATAGAGGTGTTCTTGGGGATCGAAGGCCATTCCTAAAACTCCAAGTGGGATTTTCTGCCTCTCTTAGGAGGAGTAGGAGTCTTATAAGATTGATGGTAGCCCTTTGAGGTAGTCCAGACAAAAAGCACACCATGAATACTAACTCTGTCTGTATTGTAATGTTACATTAGCAGAATTTTGCAAGACTGAAAGTATTTCTCCCCTCCTTTCCTTTTACTTTCCAGAAAACTAGGCAGGGTCCCTTCTGAAATGCTTCCCACACCTCCTCTCCTTCTGCAGAATGAGATATCTTTTACATGCTGGTTGTCCAGTCTGCAGCTTTTCCTCCTGTCTCCCAAGATCATTCCCACATATCATTACAGCCAAAGAACATGAAAAATCTGAGAGAGATTTTTAAAACTTTTTGCTTAAGATTGGACAATATTCTAACAAAATACTCTCTTACAGAGATTGGAATTGATTTCTGCAACGGTACTTGTGATGTGAATGCCAAGTAAGTACAATTATAGGGCAAAATTTAAAATATGCTTGAAACTATATGATTGTTCCCATAAAGCAATATTTCTAGGAAGCGGATCTTTTAATTAAGCCTCTGTATTATTTATTCCTTAAAACTGATCTTGCAAATTATTAAAGTCTGTAATGTGGAATTAGTGCATTAGATGAGATTATTTATGAATAAAATCTGTGAAAGGATAGATTTTAATAGAAGAGAATATGTGTAGCTCAGGGTTGAACTGTGGAGTCCTTGGGGTTCTCTGAGCTTGGTTGTTTTCTTGCAAACGTTTCATTAGGTAACATCTTCAGTGCTAGAAGGGAGCAGGGTTTGCTCTCTGTTTGTATACCATGGCATGCCCTGCCAGTGTTGGTGGGGGTGGGGGGTTTGCTTTGTTCCTCTGGTAGTTCCTTGATTAGGGTATTGTTTACTGCTTGATTGTATGTCTGGTGATAATAGCGTGTGGATGCTGTTTATCTCTATGTGCCTGTTGATCAACTATACACTATTCAAAAGAGACAATAAAAAGGAAACAAAAGACCAGAACGTTTCCTCACCAGCAATCACTCAGATAAACAGAGATTAACACCAAGATTAACACCGGGTAATGAAATGTTTGCAAGAAAACAACCAAGCTCAGAGAGCCCGGAGGACTCCACAGGACAGATTCTGTTCAAGATCTTGCTTCATTTAAATGTAAATGTCTCTCAAAATATATCTCCCCATTCTGAACAAGAGTAGACAAGACATTTTCCATGATTTACACATTTTGCCCATCTTATCCAAGTAAGATGAATTATTGCCACAAAGTGATTTTGATATAGATATTAATGGGCCTATTAATAACCATAACCACTAATTCCTGTGTCAGAATGCTATACTTGATGATAGCTTTTAATCTACATTGATTTTCATTTCATTTCTGTATTATACTGAGGAACAATGGTGCAAAAATTCCACATTGAGCATTTGAAAGAAATGTATATCAATAACTTGAGCTTCCTGTGGAATATCTCTCTTGTGTAACCACACGTTTAGACAAAGGACAAAAGGGGAGCAATGTGATCCAGGCCAAACAAGCACAATGCTATTAACACTCAGTATCATCATAAACTTATGTCTGTGAGTTCATATATAATTCTCAGTCACTTATGACTCTGCTTCAGTTGCGTTAATGACTCCACTACTTCTCAACCCATCTGCTCCTGTTCTGCTGGATATTCTGGGAATGGAACCTACTGTGCAGGTATTTCTGGCAAATGCTTTCAATCTGTAATTCATACTTGATAAAATAACAGCACAGGGATACATACAGTAGATAGTACACGGAGATAGACCTATAATAGCTAAAATGATAATTTTTTCACTTAACCACACACACAGGCATTGCTGACATACGCATGTTCACTATTTGAGAATTGCAACAAGTAAAACATTACTAACTGGAGTTTTATATCATTTCAAATGTGGTGTTCAATGCTTTCTATGGGCTCTGTTCAGACATTCAACAGCTAGTTGTTGGGTGAAGGGAAATAAGTATTTTTGAAGAGGAGTAAGTATTACATTGAAGAATAATCTTATGTAATCTTATGAAACTCCTTTTTATCTGCATCCATGACAAGTCTCCTATAGGTCCATGTCAAAGAAAATGGCATGAAAGCAGATGCCTGATGTGTATTCTCTGGCAATTGGGTTGAGGAAGGCCACATCTGGCCAAAACAAAGGCTTGAAATCCTTGCCTGCACTTCCATTCAGGCCAGGGAGCAAATGGAATTCTCCCAGCTTTTCTTTTGAATGTATAATTTTTTACACTTTTCCCACACTATATCCCACATGAGCCCTAGCCACCATATTCCTCTGTAGTTTCACCACCCCATTCCTATAAATCCAGGAGCAGAGTTGCAGGGTCTGGAGGGTTGCAGAGGGAAGGTAAAAACATCCTGCTTCATAAACAGGGAGTCACTGAAGGAAAGTGAAGATTCAAGTCACAGTCTTGACAAGGTCCTCAAGTGTTCATGAATGTACTTGCCATACCTGTGCTAAATTGTTTTATATTCTAGCCCAACCTTTTTTTCTTTGGCAATTCAGAAATAGACCCCTGTGCTGTGGATAATGGTGGCTGTTCCAAATATGCCAACTGTACCAAAAAAGCACCGGGCAAAAACATCTGCACTTGCAAAGAAGGCTATGCGGGAGATGGGACTTTATGCTTGGGTGAGCATCGTACAGTCCAAAGCAGCTGAAACGATGGGCAATTTGGCTTTAAAATATAATTTTTTTTCTGGACAAAAGTGAATATCTGGGTAGACCTGTACCCAGATAAATGAGTGGCATATAAAGTGGGGTGAAATATTTAAGGCATGATAAAAACTGTTTCTCTTGCAGAAAGGTTGCCTTTTACACTAGCCCAGGTAGTCACTGCTTTCTTGAAATGTACATGTATATGTAGCTGGTTACTTCACTCTAAGCCAGGCAGATGGCAAAATAATGTGGACATGATTGCTGAGCAACGGAGAAGAGGATTCTCCACCAACTATGATGGCAGCCTACAAGGTTTGCCATTTGAATTAATGGCACTGTTTGCTCCATATGTGGGTGGGATATACTCTGTAATAGGTATGAATGTTCCATTTGGGGAAATAAAAACCGCTTGAAAGTTTTCTCCAATCATTTGCATTGTTTCTCCCTAATCAATGATGAATTTTCACTAGGAACATTTGGGGCATTTAGGAAGGTCAAAAATGTGTCCTGGCTTACCCTTGCTTATTGCAAGTGAATTGGCTATTCATCTATTCATATCTTCTAAGAGCTTGTTTTGTAACATAGCCATATTTTTTCAGTGGAAGCAATCTGATATAATGTGCATTTCTTCTATGTCTAGAACTGGATCGGTGCTTAGAAAACAATGGAGGATGCCACCAAAACGCAACATGTATTAAAGCAGGGCCAGGTTTGGTAAGCAAATTTTTATCTTATCCTCTTTTGAAGTTTACTAGTAATATAGTAATATATTTACAAAGAAAAACTGTAGAAACCATATTATTTAATATTAAAATATCCATGTTTGTTTCCTGTCTTGCCCCATATAATTGAAACTTTTATTTTCCTAATATCTGGTAGTGGAGATCCTCATTTCCTTTAGAGCCTTAACTACATAAAGTTTTTTAGTGTTTTATTTCTTCTGCTTGGGATGACTTTTCTGTTTCCTGTTTCTATGGCACAGGTAAATCTTCCTGTTTGCCTAAGCTTTTCCTTGATTCCTTTGTGCCCAGCCAAATAAAGGTGTGGTTTCTTTATTAAATGCATGTTTCAATCATTTTTACAGTTTTTATCAATTTTATATTTATTACGTAATGTACGCTTATTATATCATATTTAGTGTGTATTGCACATTCTTAATGTTGATTGCTTTGGTATGTAAAAACTGTGAATGGATACTTAATAAAAGATTTGTAATAAACTCTAAACTCCCATGTGAAAATAGCAATGATATCAACAACAATAATGTGAATCCCCCACCACCACCACATATATACAAAAGACTGTGGTGAATCCCTTCACTTGTATAAATTGTGCTAGGATTTCAATACTGTAAGTTCTCTAAGATTGTCTGAACTATATATTAAGCATGCACAGTGGGCCCCAAACAATTAGCTTTACTCTGCTTCTTCCTCTGCCTTTCCTGGTTTTGTGATTTTCGGCACCCCTAAGATTCCAGCAGTGAGTCTCAGAACTGTCTCATATGTGTCTTTTGGGAGTGGATTCAATGGGGCTTATTCTTAAAGAAGTGGAGGAAGGATTGTATTGCTTGTTCTTAATCACACAGGGTGTCTGCAGGGGGAGACAAAAAAGTCAAGATGGCAGCTTCAAACATGTGATTAAAGCCCCTTTTTTAAAAGTGCATCACAACCACAACACCCCATGGACATCCCTGCGCATAGTTTCAAAGCTCCAGGTGGCACCAGGGCTTCTGTTGGAGTTGGCCTCTCAGAATAAGGCCAAAGTGTTTTGTGGGTATCTGTCTCTTGCCTTTTTAATCGTGGGCAGCTGAGTCATCAGCAGAAGTGGTCACTGATGCAGATGAGGGGTGGAGAGGTGGACCAAACTGATTTCAGGTCTAGAGTCTGTAACACGGTTGGCATTTCCATCCCATGGACATAGGTTCCCTTTCCCTCCCATTCAGCAGTCCAAGAGCCCAATGTAGCTGTAAGATCTATGCACAGGTGATACCAAGGGATAGGCAGTCTGGATGATATACCTGCCTGCAGTCTGACTTCCACACACTCTGTGTAAAGTGTGGCCAGCATGTACTCACTGTTCTGCTTCCCCAGCAGGAACGTCCAATGGCTTAAAAGGCATGGGGCTCACTCATTGGCAATGGGACTATTAGTGATTGTGTTCTGACAGCTTTTGGCACTCTTTCTCACTGGAAAGAGTAGCAGAGGCAGTGTCTGCATATGTAGGACCCACTTCCTCTATTTCACAGTAGCAGAAATAAGCAGAGCAGGAAAGTGGCAAATATCTGCCATGTTTATTGGGGCTGCAGAAGATGCCCTGTGGCTTGCATCCCTCTGCTTGCAGTTCTGCATGTGAAATATGTGTTCTTGTTTTTATTTCTCCCAGGTTGCCTGTCACTGTCTTCCCTCGTTCACTGGGGATGGAATTACCAAATGTGAATATACTGATCCTTGCCTGGAGGTTTGTTGATGTCCTTTCTATGCCAGTTTTCACATTTAGAAAAGCACACAAGACTAACCCCACAGAAGACCCCACTCATGGTCAAAGAGTAGTCCTGGTGCAGGTCCCAACATAAATGTTAACTCCTTTTCTTTAAACAACCAAAATATCAGGAGTTCACTAAAGTCATCTGGCATTGTTATGCGAAACCTTACAAGATTTTGAGTGACAATCTTGTGACATTTCTGCCATGATTTAAAAAACTAAAATTGTGTTTAATTTTAAGGTCCTGCAGCTACCACCTAAAAAAGTGTGTGCATACCATGGTACTACAGGTACAGCCCTGGTTTATTTGGTAGTCCTTAAAAGCTTTCAGTAATAAATTGCACAGGGGAGGGGGCAAAGTAACCATTTCACTAAACCATACTGTGCTTTGTTTGGATTTGGCCTAATGTGTTAATTCAACCATCATATTTTATAGCTTAGCACGTTTAGTGGACTCAACTAATTGTGTATTAGTCAATAAACCATTATTATTGATTGATGTAAACACTTATTCATTGCATTAAGGTAATCTAGCAGTAGTTTGGCTTTCAGCTTAGGGGAATTCATTTCATGATAGGGATTATGAGGCTTGTCATCATGCCCAGTAACCCTAGGTGGAACAGAATAAAAATAAGGCAACTGTTCAAATAAATTACAATTCATAAGAAATAATAAAAGCATTTTTCACAAATAAGAAAGCTATATCCACTAAGTAGATTACTTAAATTTCATGTCATTAAAGGACCTTAAAAGAGAGAGGTGGCAGGTGAATTACATTGGGACACCTCTCTCTTTTAAGGTCTTTTAATGACATGAAATTTAAGTTTCATAGGGAACTTTAAGGAGTGGTATTGAGTCTTCAGTTGCCTTCACTGAAATGGCTGTTTCCCACTTCCCCAAAGCTGTTGATGGCTCCCTGTATGAAAATAAGAGTGATTTGTCCCCTGATAGCTAAGTTTTGAGAAGTTTCAGGTAGACGGATGGTGCCTAAAGAAATTATTCATACGCCACGGCCATAGCTCCAGCTTACTGGCTGATGAGTGTGCTCTTGATTTTCTTGATCAGAACAACGGCGGCTGCAGTCCACTAGCGTTGTGCCTTAAAACTAAAAATAATAATCGAAGATGCATTTGTTTATGGGGGTCTGGTGATGGCTTCACATGCATACGGACTGTATGGCAGGTAAGATATATTTTACTAAAACTTGCAGAATTTATTTGTGAGCATCCATCCTTAAATCCTGGGACAGCAGTGTGAAACTTCCTTCTTAACATCCCCATCATTTGTGCTGATAATAGTACTGCAGTTCTGAAAAACAATCTAACATCAGTGAGATAGTTGGAAAATGTTGCAAAAAAAGGTAGTTGCAAAAAGACCCATGAATTAAAAAAATACTAATATAGAGATTTCTAATTAGATCATAAATCATTTGAAAGAAAATATAAAACAAAACAAAGCTGTTTTCATGTATGCTGTCTGGGGAGTTTGTTGGTAAGGACCTAACTCCTATCCTGAATTGTTCAAATGAGATTGTTCTAATTAATAATCCAAGGTTAATAATTAATTTTCATGTACATGGAAAGTGGTGGGATTGGCTTTCAAGTCTCTTGCGGCATGTGGAAAAGACTTGATTCACAGTCAAAGGCAAGATCAGTCTGGCCACAGCTTTTGATTGCCAGATCTCACTGCTTCCATGCCTTCATTAATTCTCTGGCCAACCAGTTCAAGTCTAAAAGGAGATTGCAGCCAGAATGTATAGCTCAAAGCTTGACACACATAAAATCTGCTTTTCCTTCTCTATTATAATTTTGCAATGGAAGAGTTTTCACAAGCAATTTCCATGTCTGCAATTGCAGTATGAGAAGCCTTTTATTATTAATGTTTTTATGCACAAAGTTCATAAGATTTTGAAAAGACTTCTTGTTATTATGAACATTTAAATTTTTTCCTTCCTTCCTTCCTTCCTTCCTTCCTTCCTTCCTTCCTTCCTTCCTTCCTTCCTTAGGAACTTACTGCAAGAAAACCTGCCTCTGAATTTTTTCATTATATCCGGGTAGGTATCAGAAGGACTTCTATGCTGTAAAAAAGCTAGACTGGGATCCAGGAAGTTCCTTGTACTACTCCTGCAACTGTATTCTATGTCAACCTTCCCTAGCCTGGTGCCCAACTGAATTAGAAATATAAACCAGAACATCTGGATTGAGGAAGGCTGACCTATGCCATTCTAGAGAGTCCCTCAACCTAATGAAAGGGTATTCTCTGGTTTTGGTTTTTGTTGTTGTTTTTTGAGTTTGATTCTTATTTCTGCATTTAGTGGAGGAGTTTAGACCCATGGCTTTAGCCAGGACTTTATACGTGAACAATTTTTGTATCTTGTTTTGTGTTTTATATTTCGTATTTCTTGCTTAGTGTTGTTAATTGCTTTGAAGACTCAATGGAAAAAAAGGGTGGAATTGAATTAATAAAATAAAATACAGAATGAAGAGAAAGTGTTGCAGCAAAAAAGGATTAAGGACATTTTCTGTGATGGGTGCAAAGTTCATAAAATCATTGGATTGAAAGGGACCTGATGCACGTGGAGCAGAATTATCATTTCCGGTGATCTTGACATTGTAACCCTGTTGATACAGCCCAAGACATCTTCCAGCACCTGAAGCGCACTGCCAAGAGAGTTGCTTGGAATTTCTCTAAATCCAAGCGTCAAAACTTTTTCTGTACATCATAACTTTTGTTTCATATTTATATTAATCCCTGGACTTCTCCCTGTTCTGTAGGGTCATGGAATTACAGAGATGATGGGGAAGGGACCATACACCATTTTCGTCCCACATGTTGATTATCTACAGAAAACAACTACAGTAAGCAGCCTGTGGAAGGTGGTATTTGAAAACCAAGTGGTGGCTTGATCCATTATACTTTTTTGAAAGTTGTTTAATATAAAGGAAGGGTTCATTAAGAGAACCTTAGGGAGGGATAAATCTCTAGGCAAATCCTTGCTTCGTCTAAACATACATTTTTTCCTGACTTTTGCTTCCAATTATAAATGTCTTACACTAAACTTGAACTCTCCTCTTTAACATCTACATGAAACCACTGAGCAAGGTCATTTGACAGCATGGGCTACGGTGTCATCAGTATGCTGATGATACCCAGTTATACATCTCTACCCTGGGCTGGGCTGGGCTGGTGATGTTGTTGTGTTGCTGATTTGGAGGCTGTATGGGTCTGGATAAGGAAGAACTGGCTCAACCCTGGCAAGGCAGAGTTGTTTTGGGTTTTTGCCCCCCCCCCAAGGGTCTAATAATATGTCATCTTTAGCTCTGGATGGGGTTGCACGTCCCCAGACTGAGCTGGTGTGCAATTTGGGGGTCCTTCTGGACTCATGGCTCCTGCTTGAGGAGCAGGTGGCAGCTGTAGCTAGGGGGGCCTTTGCACAGATTTATCTTGTGCACTAATTGCACCCTTTTCTGGACCAGGAGGCCCTGCTCACAGTCACTCATGCCTTAGTCACTTCCTGTTTGGACTACTGCAATGCTCCAGGTCCCATCCCCGGACCTGTGCTATCATCTAGCAGGACTCAGGAAGAGTGCCTTTTTCATAGCTGCCCCTTCCTTGTGGAACACCCTTCCCTTGGTGATCCAGCAGGCCCCAACCTTTTCCGAAGGCCATCAAGACCTGGCTCTGAGGTAGAATGATAGGAGCCTATGGATGGTTGTTGGGGCATCCTAGGAGATTAATTGAAGTGCCAGGTTTTTAGTTTTAGATTTTTTGTTTTATGGTTTGTAGTTTTATTATTGTTGTGATATATATATATATATATAAAATGAATGAATGAATGAATGTTTTCTTTTGAACTGAATTTTGGCTGTGGTTCAGTTTTCTCCACCTGTACTAATGGTTATGATGGGATAGGTTGATATGTTTATGCCAATGCCCAACAGTTCTACTTTTTTTAGATCATGAGAACCAAGTTTTAGCAATTTTCTAAATTTGCATTAGATAATAGAAATAGATGCAGATTATGACATTAATGTTGTATTACTGTCATATCAGAGGGTACATTCATTTCAAACACCTGAACCGGAAAGGCTTAACCTGTGTTGCCTTGTACAACCATATTTTCTTTAGTTTTCAGAGTGGGAAAAAGGTGGCTGCATCAAAGATCTGCTTCGCTATCACATAGTCAGCTGTCAGAAGCTCCTATCAGATGACTTGGAATCACAGGATTCTATAACAGCTTTATCTGGTCACAAAATAAGAGTTTCCATAAAAGAGGTGTGTGTCACTGTCCTGTCCCATTTTCATCTTAGTCATAAAAAGCCTTTGCTGCATTGCTAAGGGAAACATTATGTAACTCTGTCCTATCAGTTCTTTACTTTTCATGGAACTGGGTTATTTTTTAGCCAGTGATGACCCCTCAAGAATAAAACGTATTTTTGTATAAAAGTCTGTTTTCAAAGGTGCTGGAAATGTATTCTATGTCCCCCTTTTTTCCCTCTCAGAACAATGTGTATTTAAATGATGAGGCAAAGATAATTGAAAGTGACATTACTGGAGAGAATGGAGTCATACATTTTATTGACGGGATCTTAACACCATATGTCCTGCAGCATCACTACATTTCATGCAACTTATCCCAGGTACATCTAAAATAAACACTCCAGAAAAGGTGAAAGAAGCCATAATGAGTTTGCTAGTCTTGAAGGTACTGTAAAACTAGATGTTATTGAAGATAATCATGGTTTGTAATGGCTCCCATTCAGTTCTGAATTAGATGTTTTGAACACTAACCATCCACTTACTAGGATGCTGCTGAGCCATAGATCCATCTTACTTGATTGCATAGATTTCTGTTTTGTCTGAATGTCACATTTGGTCTGGATATTTCAGAGATGAGATGATCTGCCTCTGATCTATTTTTGTGTCTCTTCTTATAACTGGAGTAAAATCTGTTAGAACTGCAATGTTGCACACAGTTATCTGCCACTTAATTTATTTCAGAATTGCTGTGCAAAGGATTGTGCCATTAGCCTGGGTTCAAGCTATTGCAAGGAATCTTATCCCTTGTGTTTTAAACAGGATATACAGTCGTGTGAAAAAGAAAGTACACCCTCTTTGAGTTCTATGGTTTTACGTATCAGGACATAATAAAAATTACCTGGTCCTTAGTAGTTCTCAAAAGTAGGTAAATATAACCCCAGATGAACAACAACACATGACATAGTACACCATGTCATCATTTATTTTACAAAAAGAAAGCCAAAATGGAGAAGCCATGTGTGAAAAACTAAGTACACCTTATGATTCAATAGCTTGTAAAACCACCTTTAGCAGCAATAACTTGAAGTAATCATTTTCTGTATGACTTTATCAGTCTCTCACATTGTTGTGGAGGAATTTTGGCCCACTCTTCTTTATAACATTGCCTCAGTTCATTGAGGTTTGTGGGCATTTGTTTATGCACAGCTCTCTTGAGGTCCCACCACAGGATTTCAGTTGGGTTGAGGTCTGGACTTTGACTGGGCCATTACAACACCTTGATTCTTTTCTTTTTCAGCCATTCTGTTGTAGATTTGCTGGTGTGCTTGGGATCATTGTCCTGTGGCATGACCCAATATCGGCCAAGCTTTAGCTGTCGGACAGATGGCCCCACATTTGACTCTAGAATACTTTGGTATACAGAGGAGTTCATGGTCGACTCAAAAACTGCAAGGTGCCCAGGTCCTGTGGCTGCAAAACAAGCCCAAATCGTCACTGCTCCACCACCATGCTTGGCAGCTGGTATGAGATGTTTGTGGTGATATGCTGTGTTTGGTTTTCACCAAACATGACACTGTGCATTATGGCCAAACATCTCCACTTTGGTCTCATCTGTCCAGAGGACAGTGTTCCAGAAGTCTTGTAATTTGTTCAAATGCAACTTTGCAAACCTTAGCTGTGCTGCCATGTTTTTTTTAGAGAGAAGAGTCTTTCTCCTGGCAACCCTTCCAAACAAACCATACTTGTTCAGTCTTTTTCCAATACTCTCCAGTACTCTCTTGAACTTTAACATTTAACATGCTAACTGAGGCCTGAAGAGTCTGAGATGTAACTCTTGGATTTTTAGCAATTTCTCTGAGCATTGCATGGTCTGACCTTAGGATGAATTTGCTGGGACATCCATTCCTGGGAAGATTGGCAACTATCTTGAATGTTTTCCA